TTAAATGTCGCAGTATATCGACAACCAATCCTAGATTGTTTGTATATAAAAGATGGCGAGTTCGAATCCAGGGAAAACAAAGTTTATTTCTGTTTTATAAACATAGGGTCTTCGTTACTATTAAACAGAACAACAACTAAAAAACAATCAGCAATATTCCTACAATGCAAAACACTAGTGGGTTTAATAAATTGTGTAAGGCTTTCACGGCCATCGTTCAGCATATCATTGTTTTTCGGGCTGTTCAACCGACGTGAGCGAGAAGAGGTTCTCGATGTTTCGCCATCACGAGCATCATCAGGAGATGTAAGCATCGCGATTGCTCGACGAATTTTTCTTTTTTTGGGGGGGCACACCCGGAAAAAAAATGATATACATGTGGGTTGTGTTTCTGAATAAGGAAATTATCCGGAAGATACGAAATGTATAAATAATTTTCTTCGAACTTACTAAAGAAATAAGATTCCTAGAACACATCTGAACGTATCTATCAAGCTTGCAAACCACTGTTCAACGTTCATTTATCAAGTGTCGATAGGATACGTTCATACAAAAGGAAAAGAAAAGAGATAAAAGAGCATGACGTTTAAAATACACTGGCTAAGAATCAGTTTCTTAGCGATACATCACTCTAGATGAAGCGCCAATGCCATAATAATTAATATTAATATTGTCCGTTTTAAGCCAAGGCTTTATTATGTATCATCAATCTTAATTTTTTATTGTTCTGATTTATGTATATTTTTTGATTGAGAACAAGCGTGATGGAAGGTGTAAACCCATATAATATTATAACAAAATGTAATAAAACTTTAAATATAAGTCTGTTTTTTTATTTATATAATTGAACGAGTTTTATCACTTTGTTATCCCGAAACCTGCCTGTTTTGATCAAAGTAAAAAAAGTTATTTTTAGATGGTCTATTTTGACCCAGTTTTAAAATGTTATTGGTTATTCACACGAATTTTGCATATACTACAAGAATAGTTTTCTATCATGGTTTTTAATGCTTTTTACCACACTCACAAGTCAAACCGCAAGCTTAGTATTAGAGTGACCTAACTCAACATTAATATAATAACGTCATCATAGTTTTATACGATTTGCCAAAAAAATTGTTTTTTTTTTTAATTCGGTCACTGTGATACTAAGCGTGCGATTAACGATGTAAGCAATAAAAAGCTAATTTATTTTTCACATTTCCTGATGTTTTTTTTTTGGGATAGAGGAGGCCAAGCATGGGGTTTAATTGACGGAAGGTGAAATACCCCAGCCATATAAGAAGGTGCACTGCCGACCTATCTTGGCTTTGGTTAATCGAAAACCTACAACCGAAACGCGATTATATTTCTCGGCTTTTTCTACTGTAGACGGTGTATCGTGACCCGGATTGTATCCATTTAATATCCAGATTTCTAGACGAAGTCCAACATGTGACTAATAAATTATAAATTGATTAGTTATTTGTTTAACCCGGTGGCTATTAAACCTATGGCCCGTTGATTATTAGCCATAGATCGCTACCATAGCACCAACGAGTATGTCAAAAGTATACTTACTATATCTATATAGTTATATATTATTATAATATTTGAGAAATAGGCACAGCGCAATGTATAGAGGCTTCATCGATAAACGGTCTAATCAACACAAAAATAATTTATCAATTCGAACCAGAAGTTCCTGAGATTAGCGCGTTCAAACAAACAAACTCTCCAGCTTTATATATTAGTATAGATTTTATTTTAAATAAATAATGATAATATCGAGAGAATGATACTAATAATATCCTTTGATTAAATGGACAATAATGAAAACTGGTATCCAAGTTACGAAGCAGGGATCTTGGATTAAACTCTAAGTGATGGGTGCGATCTATCAACGTAGCCAATCGACTCATTTATTACGGTTGAAGATATTTGACAATTTATCTTCGAATGGTTTTATTGGGGTGATCCTGAATTCAAGCCGAAGATAAAAACATGAGTATTAAAAATGTATAAGAATTGTGTAACTCCACAATTAAAGAAAATGTAATAAAAAACTAAGACTTAAATTGGTTAAGGTTTTTATGATTTAGAGCTATACGGCCTTCGTAACTGAGAAATTGTTCTCGATGGTTCTCCACTAAATGATATCATCAGATGATGAGCGTTCTTCTACTTATATCCTCTTTGCTTAGTCAAACAACACCCCCCCAAAAAAGGGCCCGGCAAAATTTGCCGGGGATTCTAAGCAATCTAGGCAAAGTTAACCAAAGGAGAATTTTGCTCCTACAAGCCCTCTTTTAAAGTTAGTAAATACTAATTTATACATAGCAACAAAATCACTTCGTTTAAAATGATCAAACATTATCGCGAAAGGACTGAATACACAATCGTAAAAGGTGTCGGAATGACTCGCCCTTTTACAGCAAATAAAATTCTTCAGGTAATCCATTTGAAACAGGGCCGGATTTTACATCAACGGGGCCCTATCCTCGTTAACACGGACACAGTGTTTCAGCCATTAAAGACAAAAGCGCAGAACACTGTGCTCATGAGTTTGGTTCTCGCCTGTGTAACAAACTTTATAAATAGCTATGCTTTATTAATTTCTCAAGGTCACTTTTACCTGATGCTGCAAACAAGATTTACAAAAGCATCTACGTATATGTATGTTCGACTCTACCGTTAAAAATGCTAAACCGATTTTAATTAACAATGAGTACAGGTAGCGACTAAGCCAGGATACCTTACCTTATACATATGTATATTGTTAAAATTTGCAATCATTTTCAAATAAAACTAGATATAATTTATATGACGCGCATTTCATTACAATAAGTTAAATATCTATTTAAATTAATAATTACAAATCGATCTTGGATTTTTAAAAAATTCGACACGTACAGGATTTGAACTGGCATACACGGCGTTTCGTGCTGCTGCTCTAACCATTTGAGCTCCTGTGTCATTGGTGTTAATTCAAGTTCCTCCACTGGTCTTTTTTAGTCTAAATATATATTGATAAATCGTAAAGCAAGGAAGTGATCGAAATATAATTTTGCTAAAAGTAAGCTAGTCCGGATCTAAAAGCCCGTTGTGGAATTAACGATAGTACCTAAAAATAACGAAGGTATTTAATTGTGTGATAGTGAGGTAACAAATAATACCCCAATTGGAACTGTACAAACACCATTATCCTTTGTCCAAAAACCTATTTGCTCATCATTAGTCCAAAGCTTACGTGAAGTGCCAGTGCAAATAACTGGTCGTCTTCACGAAACTTGGAATGTGGCCTAGGCTTGGAATATTACGTAATAATATATAATTATTTAAATAAAACACTTTAACGGTTTAAAACGCGATATATATTAGTGAAACTTATTTGAAAATTATTACGTTTCGGATGCTTTGCAGCAGCCGTGTTCACGGGGAGCATTTGTAATTATTCTTAAAATAAAAGACACGATCGAGCCTCGAACCCACGATCGAAAAACAAATACACTAAATAAAATAGTTTTCTTAAAACTAAATTATTTTTTAACACATACCTATAGAATATTAATCTCGATTAATTCAATTATATTTTACTAGCTGATCTTCACCAACGTTGTTTTGTTGTTTACAAGATTAATATTGTTATGTCGATACAACTCTAATAAATAATTGGTAATAAAGCATTAAATACTGTCTATAGTTTACGCGAGTAGTACACATTTAAATAAAACACTTTAACGGTTTAAAACGCGATATATTAGTTAAACTTAACCGTTAAAGTGTTTTATTTAAATAATGCATTAATTTCAAACCAAATTTTATTCTTGGTTTCGCAGCAACGTAACGATAAATTGGTGGCAACGTGATGTTGTATACATATACAACATATTATGTATGATGTGTCTTAACTCTAAAGTCTTCGGTAATAATTGGTCTCTCCAATGGCAAAACATTTTTTAAACAAACTCCTCAGCTTTTACAACGCCAATAGCAGGAGCGTATTAAATTAGCATATTTGTTGTCAATACAATTTTCTTTAAATTCGCTTAAGTTATTACTTCTTTTGTATGATCTTATTCTTATTGTAATATAATAATTGTTATTGTAATTGAAGTAAAGATAAGTTGGTGTCTCAAATAAACGAATGACACATAGATATAATTTTTGTTACATGTTTACGCACTATGCAGTGCAATACATAAATGCACTGCATAGTGCGTAAACATGTAATATTGTAATAATTTCGCTATCATTTTCTTTCTTTCGTAAATATATTTAAAAGCGGAGCACGAAATTAACAAGTCTCAGTTATAAGTTACAAACGTAATTAAATTTTGTTTTCAATATTATATATTGTTCTTTGAAGGTAGCGGGTTTTATTATGAATAGCTTCTATTGTTTTCTTATTTCGAGTTTATTTAATAAGCGTTTTAACTTCTTGCAAAGTTTCCTTAATGGTTCCGCTACTAAGTAATATAATATTTGAATATACAATCAAGGGAAACAGTATTCGTAGCTCTGCGGCTGTTATAAAAGGTTTTGCAAAGCTTTAAACACGATATGTTCCAAATTTGAAACCCTGAAAAAAAAGTAAGATTTAAAGTGGAGGAAAAAAAAATCGAAATTCCTTTCGAGTCAGTAGTATCGTCCACATACAAAAATAGGTCCACATTTTGTTAAAATGTTGTATGGCTAGAGTACTAATGTTGCTAGTGAATCTTAACGTCCACTAACTAAAAAATATATTTATTGTCTCTCTTTTAAAATTCACAACTTGTTTTGCACACACGCAGTTCTAGTTATCTGTTTTAACATTATTGATAAGAGAGATGAGTAAGTATTCTCGATAAGAATTTCTGGAAACCAAGGTAAGGTATATTAACTTAAATTCTTCAGGAAAAATGAATACTACATAACGATGCACTAATTACTGTAATAGTGTCTTATCTTGTTCTGAGTATCCGGTAGAAAAAAACATATAAATAGTTCACGATTGAGTTTTTCACACAAAAGTGAAAATGAGGTTGTTTGTCGCAGCGGCGCTACTGTGCGTGTTATTGGTTGCTACTGAAGCAGGTAAAATGGAATATTTTTTAAGTTGTTTTTATTTTTATTTAATACGCATGCTAATGAATCGACAAGCTATTAATGCTAATATAAAAAAGCTAGATTGTGGCTAGAAAACTTAATGTTAGATTTGATAGATATATATAACACATATGTATACTTAATGCATGAAAAATAAACCCAGATAAATTGGTGTCGGCTTTGCTACTATAACTTCGTATATGGCTTTCCTTAGCTGAAGAAGTGGAGATGTTAAATACAAAAATATTGCTAGCTTGTAGCTATTAGTTTTAAACAATTGCTTTAAAATCGCAGAACTGTAGATAGGTACAGGTATAAAAAAATTTCAGAAGTCGGATTCACATTAATCGGGACGTTTAATCCTGGATTTACGATAGGTAAGATTTTATTTAGATCAGTTTAACTTAGTGTTGCCAATTTCTGATATTATACAAGTTGTGTTGTGATTTCGTGTTTGGGCAACCTTATTTTGTTTTGGGCCACGCGTGATTTGCATCTCGCCAGCCAGTTGTGGACTATTTTAGTCATTTATACAACATTTAAAATAATTTTTTCTTTCAAATATTTTTGTTTTTTAAACGGGTGGGGGGCGCCCCCCAAACCCCCCAAGGTGGAATTTTTTTCCGTTAAAATTCTTCTGTTTCTTCGCAGATAAATATGCATCCTTTTTCGATATTTGTTCCTACTATATCTCAAATAGTTGTTTAATTTCAACCAGAGATTAACGCGGTCTCAAACAAACTCTTCAACTTTATAATATTAGTATAGATATATTTTGAGTCTGTTTATTGTGTTATGGAGTCATATAATCTAAATTACTATTATACAATTGGAAATTTTGTTAAGTGGTAGGAAGATATTAAATGGGTGGTAGGAATATCAAAATTCCATCCACCACCATCCATCTACAGATGATGAAGCCGTGAAGTGTGAATCTGAATTATGTTTTAGTTTTTAATGGGGTTCCAAGGGTTTCTGAATGTCCAAGTGTGACGCATTTTGTTTAGATGTCTGTCCTCTTCTTTGTACAAAAATGTGTAACCGATATTAAAAATATAATAATACGTAGGAAAGCAGTTGCTACTACTTTGTATCAAACGAACGGCATTTTATTAGATCCCTAAGAGAGTTGCCAATAAATAACTAAAAGTAATGTTGTGTTTAGATCGGTTTATCATAAATATTTATTACCCTTTAAGAAATTGAAATTTATATTATAGCTTAGGTCTTATATATTAAGAATTATTAGATATAGACGACGATATTTTGTGTACAATTACAGTAAGCCTGTAGTTTGCGCTTGCAGTACACGTTTAAATAAAAACACGAAATATATTAGTTAATTTATTTACAATGAATACTGCAAAGCATTTGAAACATCGGGCTGTAGTTTTATTAATATACTTCGCCTTTTTAAAGATTGTAAGTGTTAAATTGAAACAAGTTACATTTGAAATCTTAATATTCGTCACATGTTGGCTCTAGTTTGCAATTAAGCTATATGTGTAGTTTCTATAAACATAAATGAGTTTGCAGCGAAACCTAAGATGTAAGATGACACAATTTAAGATAACGATTTACTGTAGTCATGGCTTCAACTCTACAGCATTCATTTCTCTTAATTACCAACTCTGTGGCTCAGGCGTTACGATAAATAAGCAAAGTGGGTTCGAATCCAAGAGAGATGAGTAGACCTGAGCCTGAACCATGAGAAGGAGGAATTGGTGTAACCCTACGTAGGGGCGGGTGTTCACAAGACTTAACTATAAATAATGATTGTTTTTCAGGGGCAGCGAAAAATCAAGAGTCAAGAAGAAAGCGGATTGATTCCGATTCCGTTTCTGATTCTGATTCAGAAGAAACTGAATGGCCCAAGCCTCAAGCGATAAGTAACTTCCCCGTACCTGATTCGTTTGCTAAAGCACCCGGCGAAACCGTTGGGGATGATGGGCCTGACGAAACGGTAAATGTAATACGACTAGCTTTGATTTTGTATTCTGGAGTTATGTGTACACGTGTGGCACGGCCCGCTTTGCTCCTCAGCTCCCGTGGGTTTATTTCTAATTTCCACGGTAATAGAAAAAAAACGAGATAATGAAATACATGGATTTGGGTTTTCATTCGTCTAATATTAGCAGTGTATAGCAATATATTCGATCCTTACAAAGTCCATCATGTTTCTAATCAATTTATAATTTTTGTGAAACATTTTCGACTTCATCTGGTAGATATATCAAAATTTCATCCGGTTCACAAAACATCGCAGATAAAATAGCCGTGAAGTTTAATCGAGTGTCGGTTTCAATTTGTAGAATTTCGAAGACCTAGAGCCAAAAAAGGTCAAAGCGCACCTAGTTTAGATGTTCCATAGCTGGAGTAATTCACCTTCTAATCCACATTGTCTGATAACAATACGATATTCTATGAGATAAGAAGTATTTGGTTAGTGTTTCTTTTTTGACAGTCTGCTTTCGTAAAACAAAGACAAAACAGAGTGGACTTCACATTATGGAAGGTGAAGTGCTCCAGATATAGAATCTAAGATACTTATACCAAAATGTGGGTTATTATTCTTAGGTTTTATTTCTTGATCATGCCTTTGGAAACATTCTGTCACGCTCTTTTTGTCACTGTTATGTTTCTATTTCAGTCGCCACCTTCAGCCGGAAGACACAGACCACAAAGATTCCGCAGACATTAATTTCATTTATTAGTTTTAAAGTAACTTTGTATTCACTTTGCAGTATTTTAGAGTAAACAGCGCTTCAATAAAATGTGTTGTGTTTTATTAATCTGTAACGTGAGACATTTATAACTACTAGGACTAAAGTAAAAAAAAAAAAAAAGGTAGTGGAAAAACCTAATCTCAAATCCTGGGTCAGGCGTAATTTTACGTCAATGTGAAGTAAAAGGAAGGTAGATAGCACTCGGTCCTCCCACCACTGCCTTAATGGTGATAATGTTAAAACCTACCAAACCACATTGAAGCACTATGGTGGTAAATATGCTTTTAAAACCCTCTCATGTGCAAAAGGTGACTTGTGCTATGACATAGTTATTATTAAGATAACGATATTTATAATGCTCTTTCCAAACATCTAAATACAATAAGATAGTTAAAAAAAATATTTCTTATTTTTAGAATGTTTTAACAGAACATAGAAAATTCTAAATTCGCAATATTACATAACTTTTAAATAAAACACTTTAGTTTTTAGTTTACGTGACGTGATATATATGTTACACATATTTGAAAAGCAATTTAACTACGTCCCGACGTTTTGAATGCTTTGCAGCACCCGTGGTCACGGGGAGACCTGATAACATATATCGCGGGTTATGCCGTTAAAGTGTTTTAGTTGAATGTGTACTACTCGCGTAAATTACGTAACTTTGTTAGCGCCACCTATTCTAATATGTCTACACATAGGTTTATGAAATTGGCTATTAATAGTAATCGACAAGATCGGACTCAAATCACTGTCAGGAACACACCATTGAATTATCTCCAGAAACATTTTTACTTACCAGTAATGTGAAATAGATAAATATAAAATTTTTACCCGTGGTCACGGGGAGACGGGCTGCTGCAAAGCATCCGAAACGTCGGGCCGAAGTTAAAAATCATTTTTCTAAGCGTTTTAAACCGTTAAAGTGTTTAAATTAAATGTGTACTACTGTAAACTATAGACAGTATTTAGATAAATATTGTTATTTACCCTATGTATATTTATGTACCTTCCGTTAATTGAACAGTTAATTGAAAACTTGCGGTACACAATTCCAATAAATAATATAAGAAAAGATTATATAGAGTATTCAATATATTTAGTTAGAAGTATAAAAGGGAAAGATATAGAGTACCTGCATATTTAGTAACTACATTTTAATTTAAAGTAAGTGTACACTTAACTTAAGATACAAACGTGATTTCTCCAAGGAATTCATAGAAACATACAACAGTCACTTAATTATAAAGAAAAGCTCAAATGCCTTATTAGGTATAAGAAGATCTTGGATATTAAAACAAAATGTATCCTTATTATGGCGGCGCTTCAGTTGCCTCTGTAACAGCTGGGGCTGTGGTCTTAGTGGTTTGTGTAGGCGAGCTGATCTCCGTTGGTACGAAAGGGACAGTTGATAGTGGTGTCGTTGAGACGGTGCTCCAACATGAGGGATCCCAGCCTTTACAGATTATGCATAGGATCTGAAAAAGATTGAAAAAACCGTGTATTCTGGCAGGATTGGAACTTGTGACCTATAGATGTTGGTGTATGTACAACGGAAGTCCAAAACTGGAGAGATAATAATTAAAAAAATACAATTCGGTGGCGTTACCATAAATGTCTCTAACATGTCTTTCTATTTACCAAAATAAACTTTTCAAATCTATACCAAAGAATATACATACAGAAATTGTGCAATGTAACGAGAAAATACATAATTTAAATAAAATACTTTAACGGTTTAAAACGCGATATAATAATCTTAACTAATTAAAACTTATTTTGAAAATTATTCTAACCACGGCTCGACGTTTCGAACGCTTTGTACCAGCCGTGGTCACGGGGAGACGTAGTTAAAATAATTTCCAAATTGGTTTAACTAATTATATCGCGTTTCAAACCGTTACAGTGTTTTATTTGACTTTTTCTCCCCGCGTACAGACCCAGTAGGAAACGAATCTACTGACCGCAGTTTATTGTGTGTTGTATTAAAGTGAAATTATGCTTATATTTCCTTGAATGATTATGTAATATGTGTTTCATATGTAAGTGTCGCCATTACAGACATTAAACACATCTGTATCACATAAGACTGTAAAAGTAAGGAAGGACGTACAATAATGTCTCGTAAGTAGCGTCACTTTCAAATGTGGGTAATTTATGTTGGCAAATAAAAGCAACCAGAAAGGTAAAGATGGTGTTTGGTAAGGGACATTGGGACACGTTGGGGTCGTAAAGGGACAAATAACAGCACGTAGCGAAGAGTAATGAGGCGGGGAATTGAACATCGCACGTATGCCAAAAAAATTGGTGTTTAAGGACGTGTTCTAGCAAACAAGAGAATAAAAAGCATCAACAAATATGCTGTTTGATGTGTAGTATTAGAAACAGATAAATGTAAACAATATAATCTGTCTTATCAACCAAAAGAAGCAATGGACTATAAAGAGTCCATTGTTTGTTTTGGTCCATTCTTATCTTTTTTATACATTTATTTTCTTTAGTTGTAAGTTAACTATATATATATTTAATTACTATTTTTGACAAAAAAAAAATTTTAAACAAATAAATCCGAAACAAATTTTTCTTTATTTAGGTAGATTTAGATAGAGGTGGACAAACACCTCTGTCACCTATATACTTGAAAGGTAAAATACTCATTTAATATAAAATCAAAATATATTTATTGAAAATCGACAACTGCCACAGAATCCTATAAACTTAAGGGCTTTTTTCAGCAAATTTCCAGACGGAGTCCAGCATGTTTCATAGTTTTACAAAAATTCTAAATTTAAAAGTATATTGATCCGGTGGCGATCGAACCCAAGACACATTGATCATAAGCCAAACATTTGCTATTAACGAACCTTTAGTTTTTACGGGTTTTACGGCTAAAGGAATAAAGTGAATTCTTTTATAGAAAATATTCAATTAGTATTAGGTAACTAATAAACATAAAGGGCATGGCTATTTATTTAAATATTTTAGGAGAAAATAGAAAATCATTTTTCAGTATTTCCTTCTTAAGTACACAGCTATTAGCCTAATTAGAAGTGTAACACGTTAGTTGCAACACAAAATTAATTTCCCGGGAACAGCTAAGCTAACTTACTAGTTTATAGGTAAAACGGGTAATAAATAAAGTTTAAACGAGGCTAAAGCTTAAGTGGCTTCTTGGGGATTGAAAGCTATTTAGTGTTCTCTGTAGTATGATATTCTGTTGGGCATAATAATTAATTGTACATATATTCATTATATCTATTAGTCCTTATAATAGGGACCGATGAGATGCGCAAGAGCAGAGTGTATCTCGGGAACTAAATGTGTGGCCTTTGGATAAACGTGTGCTAAGGTGGGTATTGCATTAAGTACGAGACGTCCTGAGTTCGAATCCCGGGAATACAATAGATTGTCAGGGCAGGGCAAGGCACAGAAGTCCAACCACTTGCTTGTAAAACAAACAATCAGTGAAGCGGACACAGAAATGTCTTCGTCCCATACTCCATGGGGGGAAATGAGATTTCACTTTTATTGTCAGGACCGCCTCCTATCGTTAAACGGTACAGTATTGTCTTAATTAATTGAATTTCTGGGTTAGAATGTGGGTGAAACCTACCTTGACTTGTAAATGTATTTGTCCCATATCCCATTGGAAAATTCGGGACATCGCTTTTCCTATAAGGAGCAGTTTTTCTTTGTCTAATAGAGGTTTGATTGAATATTAAATTCAGTGTTAAGCTACTTTCAGTCGACGTTGAAAACTAAAATGACTCAAGTCTTTAGATTTCACGTTATAATCACTATTATTTATTATTATTACAACTATAGACAGGATGTCTGTTTGTTTGGCCTTTTTCCACGTCCCAACTTAACAAATCCTTTTAATTATTATGCAGTGGGTAGATAAAATAGAAAAGCTACACAGCGCCATCTTTCGTTCCTATCTATGTTTGTTTTCTGACATTTCCCCCTCAATTAGATATCATACAAATGAAACGGAATGAAAAATGTAGTGTTAAAAATAAAGCGCAATTTCTGATTAAAATCAACAGCTATTGTGGCTAGTTTCATTACTAAGTTGGTTTGCAGTACGTGCCTTTTTATGAGCTTGAAGAATCGGAGCCGCGCAGAGACTTTCAATGCCGAACCGGGAGGCAGCTCTTGCAGCGCGGACATCTGTGAATTGAATTCATTTTGTTTTGTTACACCCTAGAAGCATAGTAGAGGAGCAGTGAAGCTTAAGTTCGATATTATTATTTTTTTAAATACGACTCGTGCAGGACGTGGTAGGGTTGAAATTACATTGCGCGTGAGGCGCATGTATCAATAGGTTGAAAAAATACGACGATGACGTGTTGGGCTGGGTAGCTCAATTGGTTAGAGCAACAGTACGAGACGCAGTGGATGCCGGTTCATGTCCCGATCGAGTCTTATTTTTTTAATTTATAATAATAACAGATTTTGAATTCATATGGCGCCATCGTGTGCAATAACATGTGAAAAGTATTAAAGTTTTCAAGCATATTAAATTGCTTATCGTTTTCTATCAGGCGTGTATTTTTACATGTAGAAAACATTTAAACGACTCACATTATGAACTGGAAAATAACATGGATGTTACAATAAAATATAGAAGAAAAAAGCAATTGAGGAGTTAACATCTCCTGATGATGCCGCCCAAATGTGATGGCAAAACGTCGAGAACCCCTTCTCGCTCACATCGGCCGAACAGCCTGAATGACAATGATATGTTTGTTTAACGTAATCAAACTAACGTTTCAGATGCTGTTCTGTAGTTGTGGTCACGGTTAACTAATATATTTCACGTTTTAAACCGTTTTTTTTATTTATACTCGCGCAGAACTACAAATTTGCTTAAACATAGACATTTTACGTTCAAAATTATTTTATTTATTTTTTTATATAGGTATTAATAGTATATATTATGTTATACAGTTACTATGTGTAATATAGAAGAGATATTTGTTATAGAAAGAAAACACATATAAATAAGCTACACATATATTGTACTAATAATACTAAATGACAGTTTATTTTCAGTCTCGCTGACCGCATACAAAATCTATAAGCTACAGATAATGTATAACTCAGCAATTTGTTTTCATACATAGTCAATTGTCCTGATGAAATCAAATTTGCTCAGCTTGTGAATTCAATACATGTATAATCTATACTAATATAAAAAGGTGAGGAGTTTGTTTGTTTCAACGCGCTAATCAGGAACTACTGGTTAGATTTTAAAAAATTGTTTTTGTTTTGGTGTTGTTGTAACTATTTAATTGTAGAATTCCATCTTTCATCAAGATATCGCGCTGGGACTAAGAGGAGTGAAGAAAAAGCAATTCTTAAATCTTGTATCTACTTAGTACGCTGCGAAAACGGTTCACGATACCCAAAATATATGTATAAAGAATGATTCCGAAAAAAAATTTACGCGACACTATATCTTTTTTTTTAAGATTAACTTGCAAGAGAGACGGGATGGGTAGCAGCTTAAACTTATAAAGATACAGAGCAGGTTTGAAAAGAGGAAATTTGGAAGCCTTTAACTATTCTACGCGGACGAAGTTGCTGACACAGCTAGTATTTGAGAAAGGTCGATTTTGTTATTTGGGATAGAAATTCGATTAACTTTCAAGCGAAATTCGGTTTAAATTAACCGAATTATGACACATAATAATACCTAATCCACAAAATCGAAAATGAGTTTCACGTTGCACGTTCAAAGCTGAAGAGTTTGTTTATTTGTTTGAACGCCCTTTTGTGTTGGTTAGAGCCTTTATCGAGGAAGGCCTATATATACTACAAATGTGGAAAAAGTTGGGAAATTATTCATCATAATGGGTTTCCGAGGCGTACACTGCAAAAACGGTTCAAGATACCCAAAAATATGTAGGAAAGAATGATTCCTCTTCAAATGATTTAAAAAAGATCGACGGAACGCGACGCGATGTCGTCGAAAAATATTAAAGTTTTCAAGCATATTAAATTGCCTATCGTTTTCTATCAGGCGTTTTTTTTACATGTAGAAAACATTTAAACGACTCACAACGCGACGCGATGTCGTGGGTTTTTGGATGTCCAAATTAGGTTGTCAATATATATTTTGCGCGGACGAAGTCGCTGGCACAGCAAGTATAATAATATATTTTTGCTTGACCGCGTAAAGATTGGTTTAAAAATTCTTTTAATAAAATAGCTCTAAGTAGCACTTACTAATTAGAGTAAGTGTCGTCTATAGTTTAAATAAATAGTAAACATTTTAATACGACACTTAAACGGTTAAAAACGCAAAACTCATTAGTTAACTTATTTCGGATTCTTTGCAATAAACAAACATATTTAGATTTTTTAACGTATGTTAGATTAGAAGTAGCTTAGTAATTGACATTCTAACTAAGAGTTTGCAGAGCTCAAATAACTATTTGCATATAGTAGTAAATTACTGGTTTAATTTCTGCTCTGACATGGCTAAAAATGTAATGTCCAAAAGTACAATACTTTATGCCCAGCAATGAAAAAACTACTAATCGTTTCAATACTTCGATTTTTAAATAATTAATATTATTTAAAAATCATTCGATTTCCCGACTGCCCGAGTCGAAAATTTTTCGACTCGGGCAGTACTTGAACCGGCATCGTCAGCGTTCCGTGCTGTTGCACTACCAATTGAGCTACGTCGAAAATTTTTATTTATTTTCGATTTAAAAAAAAACTAATTGTTTAACAAAAAAAGTACTATTGATCGAGTATACATTCATAGCACAATGTATATAAATTAAATAAATCGCCTTTTATGAAAATATAATATGATTGCGTTAATATTCTAAAAGAACTAAATGCAAGCCAATGGTAGCTAATCGTTAATTAAATGAGAACTAACCTTCGGAGTATACACAATGCGAAACGAGCGCCAGTGTACACAACATAGAGTAATTAAACAAAGCGACCATCTTGAACTGCGAGTGAAGAAAAACCCTTTACACCTATACTTGACTGTTATATATAAGACTTGAGGTGACTGTGGATCTTGCCGAACTTGCCGTGAAAATTTCCTGGTGATATTTTTTAGTCTTAGAAAGAAAGAATAACTAATCGATCATTTTTTAACTAATTATTATCTCAAAAGACTATATTTATATTAAACAGTTAACAATTACAAAATAATAAAGTTAAAAAATTAGTTACTGTATGGAATTGTATTTTAGGTACTTCGTCATTATTTTATAATTAAATATATTTATAACTAAAACTCAAAGTACTTTAAAGAGAAACAAAATTAAGACTTATTCTCAACTAAAATATTATATTGATTTTAGTTATTACGAATTAAAATAAATATCTATCCATAACAATCTTTTGTCTTCAACGAGATGTGAAACTCGGAAAATTGCGAAAAGTTCATAATAAATTTTTATCTTCAACATTCTTTAGGCTGTAAAGTGTAAAGTACAGTTGCGTAAGTTTTGAATAGGGCTAACCGCAATAGTGTAGTTTTATTGCATTCTGAAATAATTATTAAAAATTTACTTAGACAAAACAAGGCTACACATAGAGTAGAGTAATCACAGAGTAGCCTAACAGTAATTTTGTGATTTGACATATTTATATTTTTATAGTCTAAAAATGTTGAAAAGCACGGTAACCGAAAATTGTTACCACCATTCTAACACAAATAATTGTACAAATTTATTTTCTCCTAAGTTAATTGCGAATTTTTATTTCCTCCTTCTTGAAAATCATGTTTTTATTTATTATTAGGCCTCTCTGGTTCTCATATAAATTCGTAATTTTATCTTTAAGATTATTACATAAATCCATATTGCGTATTTGGTAAGCCTAATCTCCTGAAATTAAACCACACGCTCAAATACATTTTAGTAAAAGAATTGAGAATCTAATCGTCAATTCAATTGTAACACTAAATAACAAATAAAGTGAAACTATCTTCGTTTTACACATCTATTTTGTTTACAGACTAGCTGTGTCAGCGACGTCGTCCGTGAGAATCTTTATAAACTTAATTGTTACCCACCCCGTCGTTCTTGCAAGTTAGTCTTATAAAATAGACATATACAGCGTCGCGGATTTTTTTTCGAAAATTGAGAGAGGAATCATTCTTTCATAAATACTTTTTGGGTATATTGAACCGTTTTTACAGCGTACCCACAATGATGAATAATTTTCATTTTTTTTATCCTCGCTGTATCTTCGCTTCTATTAATCACAGGCCGACGTTTATAGCCTTGATAAATGCTCTAACCAACACACAATTATTTCTTAATTCGAACCCGTAGTTCCTGAGATGAGCGCGTTCAAATATACAAACAAACGAACTCTTCAGCTTTATATATTAGTATATAGTAGTTAGTTAGTTACAGTTTTTTCTAAATACAAGTCAAGTTTACACATTTAAATACCCGGACTTCAAACTCAAGAAAATCTCAGGTAACACTGTTTGTTATTTTGAATATATGCTCTGTACTATACTCGTATACGCTTGTACGGTACAAGTCTAACTTATTCCAGGAACGTAACATATAAATCGCTCATGCAGGGTATCACTTAGATGGCTATGTAATTACTGCATCTCACAATTTATGATGAAACGCTACGCGAAAGTAATTAGAGTATACAGAATGTCCC